TCTTCACACCAACACCCGTGGTTCCCCAGATCGCAGCATTGGGATTCAGAGGCCAGTGGGCCACATAGACATCTACCCCAACGGAGGAACATTCCAACCCGGCTGTGACCTCCAGAACACTGTGTTGATGGTGGCCACCACTGGTTTAAGAAGTACGTTCCCACTGTCCTCCTCAGAAGTTCTTAGATTTCAACACAAGCTTCAATGTTTTTCTTGGTTCTCCACAGACATGGATCAGATTGTGAAGTGCTCCCACGAGCGCTCCATCCACCTGTTCATCGACTCGCTGGTGAACCAGGAGCAAGAAAGCTTTGCTTACCGTTGCAGCTCCAAAGACAGCTTCAACAAGGGCATGTGCCTCAGCTGCCGCAAGAACCGCTGCAACAAGGTGGGCTACAGAGTCAACAAAATTCGCACACGCAGGAGCAGCAAGATGTACATGAAGACCAGAGACATGATGCCATATAAAGGTGAAGGGCACCAAAGTTTATTATAATATATATATACAGTGGGTACGGAAAGTATTCAGACCCCCTTAAATTTTTCAAATGTATTTTATATTTTATAAAACAGAAATAATATAAAAATAAAATAATAAATTATATACATTTTACTCCAATAATAAAATTAATTAGTATTATGTTATTAGATTTTTTTAGAAAATTGAGAATACATAAAAATATATTTTTATATTTATTATTTGAATAAATTCGTTTTTATTTGTTTATAATGAAATAAATGTAAAATGTATTTTATATTTTTAAGCATGAAACATCAATATTTTATTTTTAGTGGTTTTTAAAAATCTGTTCTAAATATAATCATCTTTCCTCAGTTTTCCATTATCAAGTGAAGGTCCACTTCTTCGGCAAGACACAATTAAGCTACACTGATCAGCCCATGAAGATCTCATTGTACGGAATCCATGGCGAGAAGGAAAATATCCCCTACATTATGTAAGCTAGTAGCATTTCCTGATGGATATGTCAGGACTTAGTTCACATTAGTTCTAAATTAAGCGAAAATGCAATGTTAAGATGTTTATCAAGAAAGATCCAGAGACTTTTCTTTGGTTTCAGTGATTTTTATGACCTTATGTAGCAGAAATCAGTTCGTGCAACTATTTTAGACCATGTTTTGATTCAGATTGGATTCCGTCCTGTGCTGAGATAACAGAGAAAGTGATAGAGATGGTTTTTGCTTCCACAGGCCTGCTTTGAACACAAACACCACAGTGTCTTTCCTGCTGACCACGGATGCGGACATCGGAGAGCTACTGATGGTAAAACTTCTCTGGGAGAAAGACACCCTCATTAGCTGGCCATGGTGGAACCCCGATACCTTCCACATTCGTAAACTACGCATCAAATCAGGAGAAACTCAGTCTATGTAAGCAGAGAGACATGTTTTTAAAAAAAAATTATACCATTTTATGGATTATATATTATTTCTGCCTTAATACACAGTCTTTTTTTTTCATATTGTGCATTTTTATTGCATCACATTTTATTTTTGTTTTTTATTTTATACCCTTAAAACTTGTGCAGAATTCAAAATGTATGTGTTTTTTAATCCAGAATCATCTTCAGTGCCAAAGAAGGTGAATTTTCCTACCTTTCCCGTGGTGGCGAGGCCGTGGTCTTCGTGAAAGACAAAGAAGCCCAGTCGAGCCGCAAAAACCAGAGGTAAATTTCCACTTGCTGTCCATCCGATCTGTTGACACGGCCCTCTAAAAGTGGCCTTCCCTGTTCAGTTATTATGTTCCTGTTTTATTTGTTGTGGTGAGTTTTGTTTGACTAAACCCTTTGCACTTTACACTGGCAGATTGCATAAGTTGAAGATGCATGGAAGTTCATTCAAACAGAGCACCGAGTAAAGACACACGTCATAATCCACCTCTCCTGGGATCTGGCACAGAATCTGCCAGGGAAAACTGGATCGATAGAGACTAACCTCTCCCAAAAATCCGGACTAGTAACCTTCACCCAAATTCAGAAACACATCCTGCAAGAAACCACATCTTGAAAACGTTGCTGCTGTGCAGTTTTAAAACAAAATAATTACTTTGGATACCACTCGAGACACATTGCAGGTCATCTGAGATCTGGCTAGACAATCTTTACTACGTCTTTAATCCATAAAAATAATAATCAAGTCTCTATGCAACATATTTATGCAAGTAATCAGTTCCAGTCTATCTAAAGATGACTTGCACTTAGTTAAAAGGATTGGCTAGTTGCCCACCAAAGAGACTCTTCTTTTGGAGAAAGATGCCACTTGAAACATGTTACCGTTTGTTTGGTTTATCAGTATTACTCTTGAAATTCCACTTAGAGACTAGGTTATTCAGCTGTTTTGTTGGGTTGTACTGTAAATTAGGTTTTACCGAAGCAGTTTACTAGCTATGCTAATCCTCTTTACTTCAGTTCCGAAAGTAAAACTTTTAAGATTTTTCTTTGTTGCAACAGAAAATCAGTCTGAATTAATTATTTTAACAAAAAATGGGACCAAATCCTCTCTCTGCTGAATCAAGATGAAATGATTACTGTAAATATTTTTAATTGTTATTATATATACTTACAAACGGCTCTTCAAACGTCTACCTTTCTTTCATTTCTTCGGTTATTGTGTCTGGCAAAGGTCACTTTAAAGGCTTTGCCTCCCTTTGATTCAGTATTGTTTGGTAAAAGAGCAAAATCAACAAACGATTCTGCCACTTTTTTTTGTTTTGTGTGTGTTTTTTGTCACCTCCTTCAATTCAGTTTTGTTTGGTAAAAGCAAAATTAACAAACGATTCTGCCACTTTTGTTTTGTTTCTCATCACCCCCTTCATAGCAACTTTAGTTTACACATGAGCCAGCCAAGAAGTAAAACAAGATGCATTTGATCTAAGAAATGTTGACAGTTTTCCAGGCCTGACAGGGTTGACTGCCCCACATAATAGCCACAAATACACCAAAACTGTTCCTTTTTCCTATTTATTAAATGTATATATTTGTATATTAGGCACATAATATATGTATTCCATGTTTCTGAAGTGTTCTTGCCTTTTCTTTTGAATTCTGTAGCCTCTCTATTTTTATAAACAAAAGTTGACTGATTGAAGTCACTTGAAGGAAATGAAATGATCAGTTGTGATCATATGAATCTATAAGCCGTGCACTGTATGATGTCATTTTAATAAACATTGTTACGGTATGCGAGTGCTTTGCATTTTTCATTTAAATCTTTATTTTATGTGCAAATGCCATGTGTAAATGCCTGCATTAAATTTGAATGTTCTCGATATTTCAGGTCTCAAACAAATTAAATATTTTGAAATTGGTTGCAAATTGGTCACAGCATAAACAGAATTCTGGAACTTGACTTATTTGGCAAGGCCTCGGTCTCTTCAGAAATGTGCTGCTTAAATATATTTTAATTTAATAAAATTTCATTAAAGGGGTCATATGATGCTGCTAAAAAGAACATTATTTTGTGTATTTGGTGTAATGAAATGTGTTTATGCGGTTTAAGGTTAAAAAAACACATTATTTTCCACATACTGTACATTATTGTTTCTCCTCTATGCCCCGCCTTTCTGAAACGCGTTGATTTTTACAAAGCTCATCGGTCTGAAAAAGCGAGGTGTGCTCTGATTGGCCAGCTATCCAGTGCGTTGTGATTGGCCGAATACCTCAAGCGTGTGACGGAAATGTTACGTCCCTTACCATACTGTGATGCCTGCGGCAACCACATATGACGACCCCGGCTGGACTCCGCTTCGTCCACGGTGAAAGCCGATCTGGCGATCGACAGCGCGAAGTTGAAGTATTTCCTCGGCGACCAGCACAGATCAGCTCCAGGCATGACGAAGCAGATATCGTCCTCTATTGGAAGGCCAAACAAAGTCGTTTCGCTTTCACAAAGAGGCACACAGCATCTCCACGATGTGGCGGCGGCAACAATACTTCAGCGAAAATAAAAGTTACGCCTTCATTCTTTGCGTGAACATTTGGGCGGCGTTATGCAAATCTTCCCAGATAGTGACGTAGGTATGTGGGGGTGTGTTAGAACGAGCCGTTTTAGGTAGGCGTGGTTGACTCTTAACTTTTATAAAGAATATCTCTTTGGATTTGAGACTTTAGTCTTTGCAACTTTACAGATCTTATTTATGCACCAAGAGCTTGTAACACTTCAAAGAGAAAGGAAAAATTTAAATCACATTGTATGACCCCTTTAAATAACATCCACCTGTCACTGTTTTGCTCATGTTAGCTCCATTCATATAAGATGTTATGTGAATGGAGCGTCATCCATTCAAATAACGTGTGTATGTGTGTAAAAAAAATGTGAATTGACTCACATTGTTTAAAGGGAGAGCGACTCACGTGCAATGACTTCGAATCAAAACACAAGGAGCTTGTTTTTTAAGATCCCTTCCCCTTTTTCGTGGAAGAACAAGTTCTTGGAATAAAAATACAACATTCCGATACTTTCATTAGTCAGAACCTCCTGCAAGACTGTTGTGAAATTTCAGCATTGAATTTTTGGAATATACCCTACTTCTGCCAGTTCATCACATTAAGGAATAAAAACATAAAATATGGAGATTTAAATCTGATTATGATTTATCACTTTCTAATTCTTCTTAGAAATTTTATTCGAACTCTTGAGTCCTTGTACGGTGGACAATGGTTTCTAGAAGGGTTTCCATCTGCTAAAGAGCATGTGACAGGTTATTAGTTATGTTTTTGTTCTCTAAGAATATTTTGGATGAAAGCAGCAATTCTGGTGCCTGGTCTTTGTTATAACAAATGGAAGGAATGACCACAGTGCAGGTGTCATTGAGAGTTCTGGCAGGGTCTGAGTGTTACGGGATGACCATTACACAATGAATGCAAATAGCTAAGAGCATTGAGGGTATTGGCACATAATGAATTGTGATTCTTTGTTCTCTCAAATGTCAAGTAAAGAGACTTTACTTCTCTCTCCTCCATGTTGAATATTAATGTTTTTCATGAATATTGACAAAACCTCTTCTTTTTTGCTCCATGAAAGAAAGAATACTACATGGATCTGACACGATCTGAGGGTGAGTAAAGGATAACAATTTTCATATTTGCGTAAAAATGTCAGTTCAAGCTGAAAACTGCATGTTTTCTTATGGTAAAGAACCTCGTGATACATACAGCTCTTGACTAAGTCCTAAACAAATGTGTGACCGTATTACCCCTCCTGTGGGCTGAGACTAGTGCTATTTAGAAGCTTAACTGAAGTCTGAGGCTCAGATTTCATGAGCGAGTATTCAAACAGCTCCAGGAGTTTGCGAATATTTTCTTTTCTCAGTATATGTTAGCCTATAGCAGGCAAAAAGGTGAGGCTCACAAGCCCCCAACGTTTACGCAGAAAAGACACGAACATTTTGTCATTCCAATGCGTTTCGTGGCTCGTATTAAGCTTCACTGGTCTGTTCGTCGCTGCTCTGGAGAAAGAAATCTTCTCGAACGAACTCTTTGGCAAGATGTTTGAAATGTTTGTTGATGCGCCGCGAGAAATGGATTCGGGTAACCTGAGGCGTTATTTTATTTGGACGCGACGCGATTCTTTCATTTTTAATGTCTCTGTTTTCAATTCCTACCGCAAATCCTGCATTTATGATGGGAACATTGTAATATCCGGCATCTGTCTGAGCTTTTAAATCCATGAATTAACCTGTAGAAGCCGCCAGTGGCCATTTATTTCTCATTTCTTCGAGTCAGCTGAATGTTAGATGATATTTTATGTTGTTTTAAGAGGAGGACTCCTTAAAAGTACATTTCAAGTTCATACTCATCACAAGGTAATCTTCAGGCTGCAATCTGATGTCGCATCGATTAAAGGTGTGATAATAGTGTATAATAAGGATATTATGGCTCCACCCACCTGTGAGCTGAGCTGAACTATGGAAATATTTATTGTCCTCCCGTTACCTGTTTTATTAAGCATGCCAAGTAGGCTGTCACATCTTAAACCTAATTTTTATTGTTCCATATTTTATTTCATATTATGTATATATTATTTGTACTTAAATATTATTTAAATTTTTTATTTAATAGGTTTTTAATTATAATTAATAACAATAATTTACAATAATCTTATTTTAATATTATATCTTAATATATCTTGACATCCAAAATTATATAATTATAATACAGATTTTTTTATAATATATATTTATAATTACGAAATAATTTACTTCGTTTTTATTTGATATTACATTTTTTTATTTTTTTATTTTTAGAATTTTTTCAATGACTAATGTCTTTATATTGATATTATATTTTTACATACTCCGTTTTCTAGAATTTTTTATAAAATACAATTTATTTTAAAATTATACCAAAATATTGTACTTTTTATTTGATATTGAATTCTAAGTTGATTTAATGTATTTTATTTAAAGTACATTTTAATAGTACTATATTGTTTTTTGAATGGCCATCATCTTTACATAGATAATTTCCTGGAGGATCTAAGGAACCTGTCAGATGTCAGCAAAGCCAATGTCAAGTTTTCTCTGAGAAACCCGTCTCAACCAGATGATGATGTGTGTTACATTGTGTGTGGCAAACCAGAGACTCTCAGCAGCTGCAACTTCAAAAACACTTCAAAAACCTTTTTGGTCATTCATGGGTGGACGGTAAAGCAACGGTTACAAACATTCAATAAATTCAGCTGATTCTTTTTCAAGCTGTCCCATATGTTAGTGTTAAACTAGCTCTTTTCCCCTAGGTAAGTGGATTGTTTGAGAGCTGGGTTGAGAAACTGGTTGCCGCACTTTATAACAGGGAGAAGGATGCTAACGTCATTGTTGTGGACTGGTTGGACATGGCGCAGAACTATTATGTGGTGGCAGCACAAAACACAAAGATGGTGGGACAAGAGATCAGGCTCTTCATAGACTGGTTAGAGGTTTGTGTTAACAAATCAAATCAAATTACACATACTGCTATTCTAGGTTTTTAATTGGCATTATTGTGCCCATGTTGAATTCATAAGGAGTCTGCCAACGTTCCTTTGGAGAAGTTGCACCTCCTTGGCTACAGTCTTGGCGCCCACGTTGCAGGTTTTGCAGGAAGTCATGCAACCAATAAAGTTGGACGAATCACAGGTAGGTTAATTGGCGTTCTTTTGAAAATAAATCTTAGAACAGGTCTTAAACACAACATATGGGACAATTTTTTGCAGGTCTAGACCCAGCTGGACCAGACTTTGAAGGGGTCCACGCCCACGGACGGCTGTCCCCAGATGATGCCCATTTTGTAGATGTCCTTCACACATTCACTCGAGGTTCTCTGGGTCCCAGTATCGGTATCGAGCAGCCAATCGGTCATGTGGATATATACTCTAATGGAGGAAGCTTCCAGCCTGGCTGCAACTTGAGAGGAGCTCTAGAGAAAATGGCCAGTTATGGAATACTTGGTAAAGACCCTTATCTGGGATATTCAATTAAATTCAAATTTATTTGTATTGCACTTTTCACAATGACATCTATATGTTTCCTCACCATTTACCCCAATATTTCCTAAATATTTCCAAAATATGTGTGAAGAGAATACATGCACATGGGGCCACTGGTTGTTGAATTGTTTATTGTTGAAAGAAGATTGTAGCATCATAGAAATTTGATATATATGATTTAATATTTAATATTTAATCTTTTTTTATATATTAAACATTGTATATTTAAAAAAAAAAAAAAAATATATATATATATATATATATAATACAACTAATATAATAAATTATAACCTATTTAATTAATTCTTATTTTTAATAAAATAAATACTGATTAATGATAAATCTGAACAACACAAAAAATATTTCAAAACAATACATAATAAGTAGTCATTAAAATATATATAAAAAATAATATAATTAATATAAATTAAAGTATGAATGTTACAATTTAATAACATTTTTTATCAATTAAAAATAATACAATTAATATAATTATAATTTGTACAATTTAATTTCTAATAATAAATGCTGATTTATCGTAACAATGCTATGAATTTTGCTATGAATAAAATATTGCATTTTGCACTGGCACAAATGTTCTAGAAATGCCTGTTATTTGTAACTTTCCCAAAGATGAAAAGAGATTAGTTGTGTATCAGGAGTAGGTTGTGACATTGTCACATTTTTTCGTGATCTGGATTTCTAATCTGTTTTGGCAACTTACATTAAAACCTGCTACAACCTTTCTACAATGAAATCGTTCATCTCTGCTAAAAAACAGGTTATTGACTTATATGACTAAAAAGATACAAACATATTTTAAAAAGTTTAAAATCATATAAATTATGTTATTAATACCCTTAGCCTTATATAATGCCATCAGATGTGAGCATGAGAGGTCTGTCCACCTGTTCATCGACTCCCTGCTGAATGAGGAAGAAGCTAGCAGAGTGTACAGCTGTGGGAGCAATGACATGTTCGACCGAGGCATGTGCCTCCAGTGTCACAAGAACCGCTGCAACACCGTGGGCTACGACACCAGCAAAGTCCGTAAGGCAAGAAGCGTCAAGATGTTCGTCAAGACACGAGGCTCCATGCCATTCAGAGGTCAGTGTCAAGTTTCAGAGGAGGAATTTTTAAACAGTAATTTAAACAACAATTTTGTTGTGTTTTATTAATATGTCTATTTCGTTTTTAGAAAGCTTTAGCGGGCGTTTAGACAATACCATTTTCATTTAGATGACAATGGTGTTTTGAGGAACTTAAAGGCACAATATGTAAGATTTTTTATTAAAATATCCAAAAACCACTAGAACAGTGTGATCTATTTTGCTGACTTGTGTACTTACATTATCCCAAATGTTTCGAAGAATGTTTAAATCCAGAGAAATAAGCAATTTTAACTAGTGACACGGACCGTGTCCATAGTGTCATTGTGTCGCCTGCCAATGACGTCATAACCCCTTGATTTCCGTTTTTTGTTTTGTAGAAAACATGGAAACACCAAAGACGCTTTAATATGTTGTGCGTTTTAATAGACCGGTGACGATCGCACAGAGTAGCATTATAACAGAACTTTCAAATGTATCTAGTATGATAAAACGGTGATGCTTTACCCCACATACGCATGACCGGAAGGATCGGAAGCGGTCGACTGTGGCATAATAAAAGCTCCGCTGCTTTCGAGCCGTGTGGCACGCTCGTTCAGCGGCCTCGTTTTGCTTCGACGGCTTTCAGCCTCACCCTGCTTCATTCTACTACATTAACAAATCATTAGCTCATCCATGAACATGATTTCTGCCCGAGTCCCGTCAGATTGCATCGGCTGTGGGGATGAAGACCACAACTCCCATGATTCCACACTCAGTCACGGCATCATCAAACTACGCCTTTTGTCTCTTTGTTTATTTTGAATACTGGCCCTCTAGCAGCGAAAATTACATATTGTGCCTTTAAACAACAAACGTTTGAAAATGGGTTTCAAAGTACAAGTTTTTGAACGTGAATTTGTGAAAATGGTGATGTAATGCGTACTACGTGTTCAGTCTATAGGCATGCACGAGTTTCTTTACAAAGTGACATCGCCAACTACTGGCCTGGCATGAATAATACAGCAGTTTTAGTCATTTTCGCGGATTCGTGTGGACAAGGAACATTTTGACAATTTTGTCGTCTGTACGTGAATTTTTCAAAAATTTCCATTTTGAAGTATGTTATTGTTGTTTAAATGTACCCTTACTTTTTAGTTTTTGTTGTTTTAGTCATTTTAGTACGAAAATTTTAAATGTTGCCTTTGCAGTTAGCTGAAATATGTTTTTTTATATTTTATTTCAAGCAATGTTTTAATGGTCTTAGTTTTAGTTAACGATAATAACCCTGGTTGGTCATTTTTTTTATTTTCAGTTTTCCACTATCAGCTGAAAATCAACTTCCTTGGTAAATTAAATCAATTAGCGATGGAGCCAGCACTGACAGTCTCACTTTACGGTACCAATGACGAAGCAGAAGCTCTCAAGTTGAATGTGTGAGTAATCAGTAATTATATCTTTTAAAGATGACTTTATAGTTAGCATACCAGTCAAATTCCGTTTGCTAACTATCTTTACTAACTTCATCAAGCAGACAGGAGAAGATCACCGCTAATAAAACGTACTCATTCCTTGTGGTAACCGAGAAGGACATTGGAGATCTTCTGATGCTGAAGTTTAAGTTGGAGGAGTCCACATCCTCTTTACTCTCTCTGCTCTCCTCGTGGTGGTATGGAGATTCTGCGAATTCTGGCGTACAGGTCCATAAAATCAGAGTCAGAGCCGGGGAGACACAAAAGAAATATGTTTCTAACATTTTTACTAGATATAGTGAACATAAAACGCTTTCATACACTTCAAATTCACATTTCTGATATTTTTGCTCAGTGACTTCAATGAGTTGGTCTCAAGAAAGTCAGTTCTCCTCAAGTTCACACAGGAGTTCTATAGCAGAGTAACACCAGGTGTAGTTAATCACATTAATGAACTACCAACATTTCGCTACCAGAACATACTTTTGAACATATCTACTGTTTTATCACGATCCAAATAAAAACGAATTTTTGTAAAATGTTTCTAAAAGTTAGCTTTCTTTATTATAATTAAACTACTATAATTAAAGCCACTTTATTTTATGTTTTATTTTTTAAGCATTGACATTCACACACTTTTAAGCGCTGTCATTCTTTATATTTTTAGAATTGTGTTGTGCTTGAAAGATCCACAAATGGGAAGTTCAGCTCAGGACGTCGTATTTGTGAAATGCAAGAAGCCTTGAAGGTCTTTATCTAAACGGTGACAATAGCATACTATAATTAGGCTAATATCTTCACATTTAATTTAAAATATTTCTAATAACTGTTTTCTTTGTTCCAACACAGGCTTCAATTGAAGAGCCAATGGAAATATTTTCAAGTGATTTTTTAATGAAGCAATTCAACAAATGTATTTATACAGCTGTTACTGATTAAGACTGCAACTGCACTGACTGTACTGTATTCAATATGTAATGTGTTGCTATGAATGTGATTCATGCAAATAGATTGTGAACTTTTGTACTAGGGTAAGCCATAGGCTTGAAAAGCCTTGAAATGTGATTGATTGTATTAAATAATACTGGATTTGTGTTTGAAGTAAATCTTTAGTTAATTCATTTTAGTATTATTTGTAATGATGATGCTTGTGGCTAACAGCAAACACTGTTCAAGCATTGTCTTACATTATCTGTTCTGTATTTAAAATAATTTAAGCGTTTTGGGTGAAATTATATGCCACAATTTTTACGTCATTGTCACTTTATCCAGTCACATTTAGCCTATCGTTGTTTTGGCAAATTTTCGTGGGCAAAATCCAGTCCCTTTAATAGCATTCCACGCAAATGGGAATATCAAAATATTTCCACACGGATATTTCAGAACAGGTTCAAGTTAGTCTGGCGAATTCACCGTCTTACCCAACAGAAAGCTGCTTGGTTTTAAAAGTTATATCTGTTTGGGCATTGCTACGCTACTAATTGCAACAAGCAATGGACCTTTTAGCCCACAATATTTCACTAAAATGATGTCACATTATAAGAATTCCAGCGGCTCTTGTCTTCAGCACGTCCAGATTAAATATTATTAGGTAAAACACATTGGTTTATTTTTGAATGAATTATCTGTAAACATGGACAACGTTTCTATAGGGTACGTTTTCTCTGAGGGAAATTTAAACATTTACATTAACATCATTGCTTAAAATCTTTAATGTTTTAGTATGTTGTTTGGGCAAAAGGAACAATTACAAAAAGAAAACATGTTAAAGGCCAAATAAATAACTGCAGTAACTTAATCTAAAAAGTCATATGAACACAAATGAAACATCTACTTTGTGTTGAATGTTTTATTGGTATATGTCTTTGCACTTTAAATAGATAATCGACATACCCACGCGTAAAAAATACTGCATAAAACATACTGTAAATGACAAACTGCTACAACATTTAAAAATGTTCTTATGAAAAATAATGTGATGTACATCAATTAAATGGACTGCACATAGCTGTAAATTTGTTTTAAAAAAATAACAATAATAATAAAATAATTAATTATATCTTTGAGCTAAACATATGCGTTTTTACATGTCTTGAAAGTTTTATTTTGCTTTTTCCCCCTAATTTCTTGGTGCACATATTACGCATTATATACAAATGAACTATTTTACATGTTAAAACAACATTATATAATGTCCTGTTAAATAGTTCTTGACTTTTTTTTTTACTCCATTCAAGCTTAAATGTAACTTGGTTCTTAGTGCTTATCATGGTAACCACCTCAAGGATGACATGAAGAGATAAAATCGTGACAGCAAATCCAACAAACGTGATGTTGCTGATATCACTCATCATAGCAAGGTTCAAATTTAGTGTTGTGCAAACTTTTGGCTGATATCGTTCTGAACCTGTGATTTCCAGAGGAAACAAATGTGCAGAGTCAACCATAAATAAGCCATTCACAGGTTGACATATACTGTATTTTTATTGTGCCATTCCCAAAAACATGCTGTCTATGTTCGATTTCCATGAATCTATAGCCATCTGTTGTCATTGAGATAATCCGGCTTTCTCAAAATCGGAATGTCATGTTCTTGGATTCCTTTGAAATAAACGTAGGTGACATTGTGTACAAAGTTACTGAGAGCACAATGATTTATAGATGAAAAGCTGGACAGTATTCAATTTTCAAATCAACAATGGAGTTTAAATAACTTTGTAATGACCAATGGTGTGAGACACATGGCTGGAAGAGGCGAAGTAAACTCAAATCATGTTTGTACAGATGCAGTTGACTCTCAGCTGTGCATCTGGACAGCCTTTAATGTCAGTCAGATGTTTTGAACATTCATAAGTTGCCTCAAAAGTAATGTTTTCTTGCTTGCAGGGAGTGTTTTTTGCCAGCTGGAAGGCCCCAAGTGAAGAGATGTTTACCTGTCGTCATCAATCTCAAGTGGCTGTCCAAAAACACAGATAGTTCCAGCCATTACTGCTGAAATGGCGAGAATACCTAGAAGTATCGCCCACCAATAAGCCTGCAAAAAAGAGAGAAGTTTCAAATAATAGCAAACTAGACACGTTTTTATTTTGCTGTTATGCAGTTAGGGTGCTCTGGGTTGTTCCATATTGGTCCATTTGGTTTAGGTGCCCAAAATATGTATCCTTGGAAATTTTGACAAATGTTAAAGCTACTGTAAGTCCTACAATTTTACACAAGACTAGTGAGGCCATCTCTGCAGTAAAGGCAAAAAAGGAAGATGGTAGCATACTATATTAGACCAAATGCGAACAACAAACCTTCATCCAACCAGCCAGGTCATCAAACTCATCCAGTTTCAAGAATGAATTCTTAAGCCTTGCAATTGGGCCGTCTGCGTCTAGGATTCGGCACACTTTGAACCTGTCACAGTAACCTCGGTTTCCAGAGCAGGGCGCCCCAGGAACTAAAGCCACACGTTTCCCGCTAAAGTAGTGCAAAAGAACCGAAGAAGTGGTGCTTGCGCAGGTATTAGGTTTATCTATGGAGAGAAAATACCAAAGTAGAAAAATTCAAGTCGAATACAAGAACATGTGCACTCTATTTACAATTTTATGGAGTAGTAATATCAGCGCAAACGGTTCGTTAAAACAAATGGCTGTTTATGCATCTAATTTATTTGGAGCAGTAAACACATTCTGTTGTGTCGGAACATTGTGGTTACCTCTCTGCTGGCAGCACATGTGGCACTTCTCCATCTTGTTCTCTCCCAGGCAGTCACATTGCACCATGTCATACAACGCACAGAGAGACAGGCCACATTCCTGTGACATCAAGTCACAAGACACTGGTTAAAGAAGACGTCACATTGTGTGATAGGATAATAGGCAAAATATACCCAATTTGCATGATTACTATGCTCATTAAGCCTAAATGATTCAGTGTGTTCAGTTCCCAACCACATATATTAATCATAAGACATCCCACAAAAGCAATCATTTTGGTTTCTCGTCTTTTAATTTCTTCTTCTCACAAATGTATTTATTATTTATGACAATATGTAATGTTTTCCTTGGTAAGTCTGTTTTCAATTAAATCACATATTTGTATTACATATTATGTGTCCTCAAGGCTATGTTCTGACTTTTGTAGAACTCAAATACAGTTTTTTTGTATTTTGAATAGCAGGAAAATGAATTAAATCTGATTTTGACAAACACGATCCAAACTACAGTCATATGTGGTTTGAAATGGGTATAAAATCTGGATGTGTTTGAGTCTGAATGGTCTAATCAGATACCAATGTAAATATATAGATACACTGAATATGGATTACACGACTGAAACAAAGAGATCAGATTTTATCAATTACAAAATGCAGACAGCTAGTTCTGAAGATTGCAATCCAAATCGGAATAGTACATAGTAAAAAAAAAAAAAACCTGCTGTCACTGTTGAACATACCCCATCAAAACAAACACGTGTACCATCACTGCATATTGTCATGTCTGGCTTGGCGGCGGGTTCTGGACATACAGCAGAGGAACCGGTGCATACACTTCGGTTGCGACACTCAGATTGGCGTTCACACATCAGCCCAGCTTCCTTGAAGACACAATGGGAGCTGCAGCACAGACCCTGGCTAGGACTGAGACAGATACAAGGTAAACAGTTACCAATGATCGTCTTCAAGAAGGTAGGTTTGATGGACCCGAAGAACCATAATCAATTTGACTCATCTACCATAAACTCACCTGCTTTGATGTTTAAAATAATCGTGAAAATATTCAGCTAAACTATTCATCTAGATGGCAATTCCAGGAGCAGGACTGGACACTCCTGATGTAAGGTAACCTGTTTGTCATTCAAAGACTCAAAAGGGAACTCACTAGTAACCCAACGCACCATCGATACATTCTTTTGGAACACCCGCATTGTTGAGGTCTTAACAGTGGTCTACTAACCAACAGTTGATCTGACATTACGTCAGCAAGGCATTGACTCATGGACCGCAAGGATTGAGGGTGCTATTTATAGTGAAGAAATTTCATTTGTCCAAAAAGTCCATGGGTCATTCTGACACAAAATGGACTGATGCAAACCTGCATTGTTTGTCAGGCTTCAGTCGACATTCAATGCCTGCAGGTTCCTTCGAGCTGTAACAGCATGGATCACTTTCATTATGGCCCACGTCACATTCTTCCCCCTCTTCTACGATACGGTTTCCACAAATGGGCTGCTCACTAACTGACAAAACAAAACAGGTACATCTTCGGTCAGTAAGTTTACCTCAGCAATGGAGATAGGGCTCATTGTGGGAGAAATGTAGGACTGAGACAAGTTAATGTTCATTAGCGTATCTATCCCATCCCAGAATCTGTTCAGACGTCTTACCTACAAAGCATTTGTCCTTATTGATATTCAGAATGTGACTCATCTGTCGCAGGCTGCAGGGGGAGAACTTGTCGCTGTTCTCCTCGATCTTGTATGAGGCTTGAGGGAACATCAAGAACCTGCCTTTGCCATCGGTGATCTCCAGGCCTCCACAGTCAGAACCCTCATCGTGCTGCCACAGAATATATGATGCATGAAGTAAAATGTAGATCAGGAGTCTCAGACTAAAATTATCTGGGGGCTACTAGTTAGTTAGTGTTCTCCATTGGGGACCAATTAAACAGTTGCAACAACAATTGTACAAGCATTTATTTTTAATCCTATATAGTTATTCGCCAAAGTAGTACAAGTAATTTACTTGCTGCTGTTAATTAATTTCTATATTTCCATATCTAGTAAGTAGCAGCAGGTATACACTTTATGAACTAGTGTTGTGTTGCTTTTCATTCACAGAAACTCGGCAGCACATTAAAGCCTACAGAAGTGAAATGAGATAAGTGGACCAAAGGCCACTGGCCCCTTTCCCAGGCCTCCTCATAAATCACAGGTGATGTGGATCCTCTGATCTACTCTGCATCCCAAATTCAGTCTGGAAACAATGAGCCATGCTTGTCAGCCCTCGGCTGTCAAATGTGACTAAACATGTAATGGGGAGGTAGACAGAGCAGAACTAATCTGCCAAAGAGCCCTAGGAAGTGTGAAGAGCATGGTTGCTACAGCTGGAAAAGGTCACCAATCACTGAAAGGTATCTGTGTTCTATAGCGTGACATGCTACGCTAAAGCCTGCAATCAAACAAAAATAAACTAGCATTTGGCAACAGTGTAGTAGCATGCATTTTCAAAACAAATGACGCCAATCAAGATTGCAGCCATATTTGGTTTGCAAACCCAGCGTTAATCATTCATGCATGTGTCAGTTGTTGGCGTTAACTTTTAATTAAAAACTGACAGGCTTGTCTGTGAAAGGAATCAGACTTACAGGGGCTCCAAGACTATGGCCCAACTCATGGGCGAAGGTCAGGTGCACATGTTTGGGAGAAAGGTAGTAGCCATAGTTCTGAAGAGTGATTAGACCTGTGTTATGGCTGGAATTGCGACCACCCTTCAAAATCATTTCAGAGCAGATTCCTCCCCAGTTATCTAAGAATCAGAGAAGAGACAATTTGAAATTAGATTCAAACTAAAAACACATCAGGCCACAATAATGAACATTTTATTTTGATATTGAACAAAGATTCAATTTACTCTGGACATTTCTCATGAGTTTAAATTCATATTTTAATACAGCAAACTCTAAGTTAGCTCCCTTGATTATAGGTTCAGGGTAAAGGTACCGTGTTTTCTTGGAAATGGATGTGTCAGTTGGCCAAACTATCTCATGTCATGCTTTACATACTGTAGAGAGGGAGAAGAACCCCAAGCAGAGTTGCCTATTTTTTTCATATGAGCTCCCCTTGGTTTCAAGCTCATATAATGCCAACAGACAATTTTACTGCTGATCACAAACAGCTGGTCTTTTCCCCACAGGACTAACCAATTACATCATTGCTGACTAAAGTCTACTGGTGGGTGGTAAGAGGGGTTAGACTTGTAGTTTGTCAAGATCAGCCTGTCCATCAAAGTCCAAAGTCCTGGATAGTTTTAAACCAGGCTATGAACTTTTCAAAAAGAAAAGAAAAAAAAATCAGGCTTATGGCTCCTCAGTTGTGAGATTTGTGTTCAGACCCAAAACATCAAGGACCCATTCACGTTTTTTATGCCTTTCTGTGGGAAATTTACAAGAACCATACACTTGGATAAACTGGCTCACATAAAACATATGTGAACTGTGGGTTTATAGAGGCTTTATGGTCATCATCTGTCTCTCATTTATGGCTCTCATCATCACATGAGTAATAGGTCTTCATTTTTGGAATTGCAGAGTCATTTGTCACTGTGGTTCAAATATTCATAAACATAGGAACTTTCAAATGCAAATCTCAAAAAAATTCCTAATGCAACTAAGAAATATTCTACGCTTTGAAATTTTAAGGTTTTGCCGATCAAGTCTAACTGCCAATAGTGTTGTCCTGACAAACACATTAAAATAACTGTTATATTCAATTAATGGAGTATAAATGCATTACATGGCAGAGCTTACTCATTCCAACTGACTAGGAAGAGAGCCAAATTAAATGAAGGTGAACCATTTACTCCAGTGTACTCTAGGTCAGAGGCATCTTTACAGAACGTTGAGCTCTTTCAACAACATGCAAGGTGGCCAGGATGGTGCCTCAGGGATGTCGTTGCCTTTCACAGTTGCTATATCAGGCTCTTTTTCCACTAGACTTGCATGGAGCCATTTTTGTCACAAGGTTTTTAGGGCATGAGGCTGTTGATTTGCACCACAACACAGTCATTTGAGAGCAGCCATCATGACTGTTCAAAACAATAAGTAAAAGTTCAGAACCAACCACAATAGTGAAGATTAGAGAAATACTTAATAGATGGGAAAGTAAACATGACCTAACACCAGAATATTTTTAGACCAAAGCTTCCATAAGTGTTTATTGTGCCAGGCCAATAGAGTGCTTAAGTAATCCCATATTTGTGTAAGCCAACCCAGAAGTTTGCATCACCTTGTTTCCCTCAACAAAAACCAAAAATAAAAGCTCTGCGACTAACAAAAGTTTGATTCTCAGGGTTCATCACATTTAGCTTATGTGTTTCGCTAATGTGACCTCACCATTGCAAGTTTTGTTCACAACAAACAACTTTTATGACATTTGAAATCTAAATACAATTGCCAGAAGTAAAAAGCTAAGTGCAGGACATAAAGAAACTACCACCACAGTCATCATTAAGCTTTCGACAATTCTTTCAGTCTTCATTTAAACATTTTACCTGAAAGTTTGAGTTAGAATTGTTTGCAAGAGTGCAATCATAAATACAAGGCTCACAAGACTAATGAGAAAAATTTTGCATTTTAGCATTATGATGTTTAATGTCCCAGACAACTCTTGTTAGCACTCGCCTTTTTCAAGACAAGTAAAAGCTTTAAAAACATATCACTACTGTATTTTATGTCTTAGAATAAAATAGTATGAGATTGTGCTAATCCTTATTTCAGGCATTTAACCAAAACTCCATTAAAAAAATAAAAAAAAACATTTACTTCTGTATAAAACAAGAAGTGCTCAAATGCTAACTCATTTAGGAGTTTTGGCCTACAAAACATGCAATTCCTGAGGAACACTATACGACAAATAATATGGGAGGACACATTAAAGTAGATATGGTCCACATCATAATGCACTGAAATACTACAACCACCACCCACCTCCCAAAAACTGACCACTCTACAATGCCCCAAGCTGCTAAAGCAGGGTAGTGTGTTATGTTGGGTAAATACAATTGACAGAAAGCCCCAGAACCCCTTCAGCCCACTCCACCATGGAATAAATGAGTGTCAACAAGCCCAGTCAAAATAAGACCAAACGACTTGGGCTGTTGTAGGACTTGCAGATGTCTTGATTAAACTTGCCAGGGCCAAACTGTAAGATGTTAATGTTAGCATCCATCAAGTTTCTTGACATGTTTGGGTGCTAAAAAGTCAAAAAGTAATTGCCGCTTTTATGCTTGTCCAAAAAAGGCCTGAATTAACAAGTTTACACATAAGGCCCATCCTACATGGAACTGAACGCACCATGATACATGGTGGTTAAATGCTAATGCACGTGAAGGAACCCTTGTGCCTCTAATGAAATCTCCTCACTTGAGGGTTTTGCCATGGAGGCAAATGTGGAAAAAGGAATGCGGTTATCCCAGTTGTTGTGGTGGGGACAGAGGTCTAACATGCATAGCTCTCTGGTCACATGTCACCATTGATGTGGATTCACACCCCCTTTCTCAGCCAATCACAGCAGTCGCTGCGGTCAATCCCATAGCAACATTCTAGGATCTCAGCTGGTGGCCTGCACCTCCAACCGCACCAGTAATAATCAAAACAATGATTGCTCAGTTTACTGGCCATGTGAGATCCCAATGATGACATTCAGATACTGTAACCAAATTGAGGTCAGTGTACATATACAAAGCACTACCTCTGTGGAAACTGACAGATCTGAGAGTTATTGTGGGTCAAAATGTAAGGAATGTGTTGTTAGATGAGTGAATTTCCCTGTAAAAAAGACCAGCACTGGATCAGTGGTATGATGGTTTGCTCGGTTGGATTGCACCAGACACGTATGTAAGGTCTTCTTGCTTAAGTTGGGACTGTAATGTTACGTCCCTTTTGTTCTATTTCTGTGTTTTCTTTTGTTTTGGGAGGTGTTTGTGTGTCTCTGTCCAGGAAAAAGACCAATTAGTTCCTGCAGTCTAATTGGTGCCACGCCCTGCCTGGTCAGCTAACTCCTAGCGGCCTATAAAAGCCTCCGTCATCACTTTCTGCATCAGCCTTGTGCTCATTTGCTCTGATTGACCCTGCTAGTTAGTTACAGGCATGTTAGAAAGTAGAGTATCTTTGTGTGTTCATTTGAGTGTTTGCCTGTGAGAGATTGTTTGTTAGTTTGCTTAGCCCACTCATTCGTAATACTGACCACCGCATGTTCTTTGACCTTGATTCTGGATTGCCCCTGTTTGCTCACCTTTGTAAATAATTGTACATAACGTTCTGGGGAAGTAGGCAGACCGACGCCATTTTTGTTGAAACCTTTTATTGATTGTTTTTGGGTAGGGAGGTAGGGAAGTAATTGTAATTCTTTTCTTTTCTTTTGTGAACGAGGGTGGTTAGTGGTATATGAATTAGTTGGTTTTTGTTTGTTATTTTGGCCTTGTTGGCTCCCGAAGCTAAAATTCCCCAGTTGTACTGTAAAACCATTGTGTTCATTAAATTTTTTTTTAAACAACTCTTCCGTGTTGTACTCTTTCGTGTTGCGTAACATGAAATTAGGCCTCTCCAAGGGCATGATTCTTGCTTCTAGGAGTATGATTCTTGCTTCGGTGCGAGAGGTCCCGGGTTCAGATCCCGGACGAGCCCCCAATTTCATGTTACGCCGCGTCTAGGGTAAGGGCGCAACACGAAAGAGTTGTTTAAAAAAATGAATGAGCAGTATTTTAATGAACACAATGGTTTTACAGTTTTAAGTTATCCTGGTGCCCCCAGCGGGCTTCCTAACTAACTAGCTTAACCAGCAAGAGTTCCATTATCATGCTAGACCAGTATGAACTATGAAAATTCAGGCTGGTCTAAGCTGGTCTTTTCAGCCAGGTTGAGAAATGAATTGATCAATAAAGGCAGGAGATGTCCCATTTATAACATTCAGGATATTGCAGATGTCCAGATTAAAAGGGAGCGACAGTTAAGGTCATGTCCTGTCATGCAGAGGAAGTTGCTAATGCGAAATGCAGCATTAATTGTGTCGCGGAGAGGAATGTTAATTACGAGGTCAGCTTTGTGGCGGTACTACAAACAATGTACCAACAACATGTTTATTGCTTTGGTTAAAAAAAAAAAGAGACTTTTTTTTTCTTTTTTAAACCAAAGCAATACAGTAGAGTGTCCTTCCTAATTTAATAATAACGCTTCGGTGCGAGAGGTCCCGGGTTCAGATCCCGGACGAGCCCCCAATTTCATGTTACGCCGCGTCTAGGGTAAGGGCGCAACACGAAAGAGTTGTTTAAAAAAATGAATGAGCAGTATTTTAATGAACACAATGGTTTTACAGTTTTAAGTTATCCTGGTTCCCCCAGCGGGCTTCCTAACTAACTAGCTTAACCAGCAAGAGTTCCATTATCATGCTAGACCAGTATGAACTATGAAAATTCAGGCTGGTCTAAGCTGGTCTTTTCAGCCAGGTTGAGAAATGAATTGATCAATAAAGGCAGGAGATGTCCCATTTATAACATTCAGGATATTGCAGATGTCCAGATTAAAAGGGAGCGACAGTTAAGGTCATGTCCTGTCATGCAGAGGAAGTTGCTAATGCGAAATGCAGCATTAATTGTGTCGCGGAGAGGAATGTTAATTACGAGGTCAGCTTTGTGGCGGTACTACAAACAATGTACCAACAACATGTTTATTGCTTTGGTTAAAAAAAAAAAGAGACTTTTTTTTTCTTTTTTAAACCAAAGCAATACAGTAGAGTGTCCTTCCTAATTTAATAATAATATCAATATAGCAATATCAAACAATTTTATCAAAATAAAGTAAATTTATTTTGTCCAGCACTGTCAAAAAATAAGGAATTGTTTAATTTGATTACATTTTAAAATATTAATTAAATTGTTAATGTTTTATGCCTTCATTTGATTTACCACAGTATTTGATAATACATTTATATTAAATCATAAATTCAAAGAGACAACACAGACAGTCTTATTATTATATAAAAAATTATTAAATTACTAAAGTCTTATGAATTTAATTGATTAGACATGATTTTAGATCATCAAAATTTAAATAAAACATTAAAATGGAAACCAGAAAAATTGAACTGGAAAACAAAGAATTTGGGTAAAATAAAACCATAGAGACCATAGAGACACATTATAGAGACCTAAAAATGTATTTTTGTTAAACATTTAATAAACTGATGTTTAATTATTTAAATTTCAATTAATTAGATATGCTTTTATAGTATTAAATATAATTTAACAATTTAAACAGAATATAGAAAAATGTAATCTGAAAAAAATTGGGGAAAAAATAAAATGGAATATTTGGGGGGTAAAAATAAAACATTTCAAAGGGCCCTAAACGTCCTTGCATTATACTGTATTCTGGTTTACATTTACTGTAAATCATTGTAAGTCTTGCAGTTTGTTATTAGTAAACTTGTCCATTTGTATTTCATTAAACTCTCACAGCACATGCCATTACATAAAAACTTCCAGGAAGGTTGTTTCTCTGAATTTTACATGAGAGCACATTCTTTCCTAGAAGTACTTCCCAAAGACCATCATTCCACACCCAGACCCCCACCATCCGCACTACAATTTTTCAATAGGGTGTCTAGGGTTTGAGTAATGTTATCAGATAGCTTTGCTTCAATATCATGTTGCGTCAAGGACAGAGGTCACATACCAAAGGCCTAGATGGTGCATAAGCCCAGTCACCCACCATTGAGCATAATAATATTTTTCCACATGACATTTTTGTTGTGGTCGTCATTGAGGCGGCTTGTGTTGCAATCCATCTTGAGTGGATGGGCTGAAGTTACCTGTTTTTCCTTCCCAGGCCAGACCAAGAACCCCGCTGAAGTCTCTGTTGGTCAGGAGATAAGATAGGCAGTAGTTGCTCCAGTTCATCTCGGAAAACAGACTTAACAGCTTCTCAGGCCCAATGTGAGTCTTGCCCAAGGGACTGCTGGGATCTTCCTCTGTGATCACCTGAAATAATTAGCAACCGGTTTTATGTCATACCAGGCTGTGCATTTAAATCTTTGACATGGATGAAGAATTACGTCAGGAGGCATGAGAGCAGAACATTGTATGGCAGAAATGAAATGTGAAAAAGTACAAAATAAAGACCTTATGGTGAGGAATTTCAGTTTGAAGTTAAATAAATCTAAATTTAACAGGCAATAAAATTTATAAAAAAGTAATATAAATAAATATTATGAAATTATTTCAAATCAAGAGGCAATAAATAAATGAAAATAAAAACAAAACAAAAAAATGGGTAAATAAATAAATATTATAAAATCATCTAAAGTTAAGAGGCATTAAATAAATATTAAAAAAGGAATAAATAAATAAATAAAATTCATTAATAAATAAATAAATCAACCTAAAATTAAGAGTTAATAAATACCTAAAACAATTAACAGGAAAATATATAAATAAATATTATTAAATTATTTTAAATTCAAGGCAATAAATTAAAAACAAACGGGTAAATAAATATTATGAAATTAAAGTTAGAGACAATAAATAGTAAAAACAAACAACAAAATGAATAAATGAATACATACATGCATACAGACATATATACATACTTAATACAATCAGGACAATAAAAAAGGGCAAAACTAGGTGTAATTTTTTTGTTTAAACCCGACCAAAACAAGGACCTTACAGTGAGGAATTTCACTTTGAAGTTGACCAGCTCTATGCCCTCAAAGTCAGCTTTGTCATAAATGTCGTTTACTGCTTTCATGTAGGAGGCAACCTGCAAAACAAATTGGTGCATTAAGCTTATGATTAATTGATTTCACCATCTCCTCTTGACTCATTAGACAGAAATAGTGATGAACTGTCAGACAGACAGATTCATTTTGTCATAGTAATCTTATCATATTATTTGATCAGTTGAGACACTGTTCTTTAGAGTTTCAGTTGCAACAGTGAATCCTGCAGAGTCTCTTGCCCCAGTAACTGTCGGTGGATTGAGGCACATTTTGCCCCAAAGAGAATGAAAGCACTCTGGGGTAAAAGTGCCTGGTGAGGAATATGAGTGACAATCTGGCCTCTGTTCCTTACAATGAGCAGGCCAAGACCAACATATTAGCACACAACACTGGGTGAATATGGTAATGTGGAATAACACTCTATATATAACACTATATTAAAAAAAAGAAATATCACAACTCAAGATATTACAGTGTATATAAATGTATATATATATACAGTGGGTACGGAAAGTATTCAGACCCCCTTAAATTTTTCACTCTTTGTGATATTGCAGCCATTTGCTAAAATCATTTCAGTTATTTTTTTTCCTCATTAATGTACACACAGCACCCCATATTGACAGAAAATTATATTTTATTCTAATTTAACACATCACCAATAAAATGTATTTATTTATTTTATTTGTATTAATATATTAAATATATTAAAGTTTTTGACTCTACTAAAGCATAAAAATATCATAATATGTTTGCAGATATTTAAGAAACATGCTAAGTTAACATACTTGTTTATCTGAAAAACAATGCTACAGTCAGTTATTCTCCTTTGAAAATGTGCGTTCGGCCGGAATGTCTCTGTTTTGGTTTGTGAAACCCGCCCACTTCCAGTTTACCCAATTGTATTTTGGCACCTAGGGTTGCCAGTTGGCGGAAAACACAGCCTATTTCATTTCATTCATCGTCAAGTGCGCTCGTTCCTGTTGGTGTCGTCAATCTGGCAACCTGCGTGTGTGCGTCAAGTCTGAGGAGGAGGGGCCGGGTGGAAAAAACCCTCTCCAATATTTTGATTTTGGACTGCAAAACCTAGTTCAACCACTCGGTGTCAATCCTACATACAGCACCTTTAATATATATCTTAATTGATCTTTATTGATCTACATTTTTTGAAAGAAAAAAGCATTTCTTTTAAAGAAATGAATACTTTTAATCTGCAAGAATGCATTAAATTTGTCAAAAAAAGACTGTAAAGATATTTAAAATGTTACAAATTATTTCTATTTCAAATAAATTCAGTTCTTTTGAACTTTCATCAAAAAATCCTGAAAGAATTATCACGGTTTCCACAAAACTATTAAGTAGCTAAATTGATTTCATCATTGATAATAGTGAGAAAATGTTTCTTAAACTTAAAATCAGCATAGTAGCATGATTTCTGAAGGATCGTGTCACACTGAAAACTGGCGTAATGATGCTGAAAATTCAGCACTGCATCACAAGAATAAACTACATTTTAAAACTAATTAAAATAGTTTTAAGTTGTAATAATATTTAGCAATATTACGGTTAATATTATTGTCTTTTTTTTCAAAATAAATGCAGCAAGAGACTTTGTTTAAAAACATTAATTCTTAACAATCCCAAACTTTTGAAAGTTAGTTTTTTTGTTGTTGTTTTTTTAAAGTACTGATCAATTTTGCTGGGCACAAACATAAGGACCAAAAACAAAAGGCTTAACATTTTTTTCCCCAGCTCGTCAGATAAAAGAGAACAAATGGTTACTTTAACTTGTGGAAATCCTGTTTTTTATCTTCAGCAAACAAACATTACATAACATTAAATTGTACTAAAGCCACTTTAAGTCCTTTGTTTCTCACAGCCAAAGTAAAGAACTTGGCTTTGGTCCATTGGTGATATACAACCCCACCATTTCGCAGAAGTCTCCAGTGGGATCAAGGAAGGAACATGCTGTGAATCCCACTTCGTGGAGACTGTACACTGAAGGGGGGTAAAACTTTACGGTCAACAGGAAAAAATATTGTGTTTATCAACCTGTAGTCATTGAATGAATGAATCTTTTGAGTACTAGATCTTGGGAACTCACCTGAGCCACAACAGCTTCAACACTTCCAAAGCGTTTGTAGAAGCGGTGGTCTGCATGGAGGTGCAGAAGACAGCTGGTTTTGGACTGGTCGACCTTCCGCTTTGACCTGGACACCGGTATCTGGTGTGGGTCACAAGATGGAGAAGATTTCACAACCTTGAGAAGGCGTCAAGGACATGCTTGCTCAAGTGGGACTTTGGCGATTGTATCTTTTCTGAAAAACCTCATTGTAATATAATTTCTAACTGCGCTAAACTTTGCTAGACTTGACACTTACTTGTGCCTCAAATGAAAAGAGAGTACATTTTATAAATAGCACAACCTTTTATGTTATTTTATTTCTCTTGTTAGTCTGAATTTAACTTATTTTTATCATTGTCTTCATTTTAAAAGGAAGACATTTTTTTTTACGCTTTCTGTAAAACCTTGCAAAAGTCACGGCCTCGATGCGGAAAGTGTTGTGGGTAAATGGCTGTCCACCAACGTTTACCATCCAGCCTGACAGAACTGGAGAGGATCTGCAAGGAGGAATGGCAGAGGATCCCCAAAACTTGTTGCATCTTTCCCAAAAAGACTCATGGCTGTATTAGATCAAAAGGGTGCTTCTACTAAATACTGAGCAAAGGGTCTGAATACTTAGGACCATGTGATATTTCAGTTTTTCTTTTTTAATAAATCTGCAAAAATGTCAACAATTCTGTGTTTTTCTGTCAATATGGGGTGCTGTGTGTACATTAATGAGGAAAAAAAATAACTTGAATGATTTTAGCAAATGGCTGCAATATAACAAAGAGTGAAAAATTTAAGGGGGTCTGAATACTTTCCGTACCCACTGTATATCCATTACACACTGAGAAAATCTCAAACTGTTACTTATAGTACATGACAGATATCCTTAATCCGCTTTAGACTGGCTACTTAAAGCAAGCATTTCCATGTCAGCTGACAAAGATAAAAGATTATTAGGATTTAAAAATGGCTTGGCTGAACAGTAAATGCATTACGGCATTACGGTGATTATTAACCTTCTCTATCACATTCATCATTGTAGTTTGTGGTATAAATAGACTCATTTGTGAGATTTATAATATTTCTATCATTTGAACAATCAATATAATGTGAAACATGTGTGGTCCTCCAGCATGCAACTTCTACACCACTTATTAACAGGGCAATCAACTGCAGTAATAAATTAAAAAAATACCCCCCAGTTCAATGCTATTGCCATTTTCAAGCTAACACTACAAAAAGTTTTGTTAGTTTTAACTTATTTTCCAATAAAAATTACAAAAAGAGTACAAATGAGATCGTACAAATTCATATGGGACACAAATGTAAATCCCAGAAATTGCATCAAAACAGTTCAGGGTACAAAAGTCTGAGACCCCTACTCAAAATGCACTTATTTTGCATTCTTGTAAAATCTAATATTGAGCATCTTGAGATTAATTTGAAGCAAACCCGAACTTTTGTACAGAAGAGGTTGCATGCTTAATGCCAAAAACATCCTTAAAAGAGACAGAGTTATCATATTTTTAATGTTTTAATGTGGCCTTAGAATATATATCCATTACACACTGAGAAAATCTCAAACTGTTACTTATAGTACATGACAGATATCCTTAATCCGCTATAGACTGGCTACTTAAAGCAAGCATTTCCATGTCAGCTGACAAAGATAAAAGATTATTAGGATTTAAAAATGGCTTGGCTGAACAGTAAATGCATTACGGCATTACGGTGATTATTAACCTTCTCTATCACATTCATCATTGTAGTTTGTGGTATAAATAGACTAATTTGTGAGATTTATAATATTTCTATCGTTTGAACAATCAATATAATGTGAAACATGTGTGGTCCTCCAGCATGCAACTTCTACACCACTTATTAACAGGGCAATCAACTGCAGTAATAAATTAAAAAAATACCCCCCAGTTCAATGCTATTGCCATTTTCAAGCTAACACTACAAAAAGTTTTGTTAGTTTTAACTTATTTTCCAATAAAAATTACAAAAAGAGTACAAATGAGATCGTACAAATTCATATGGTTAGGCTTGAGATGGATCTTCATGCTTGGCTTTTTTCTAAAAATAGTATGCTTCCGTACAAATCACATCATGCAAGTCATAGAAACTCGCAAACTCGTAAAATACATCTCATTAGATCGGGTTGGAAGAGTCTTATTAAATTGAACAGTTCTGCTTGCAACATCATCATCAAATTTATCTCGTTTTATGAATTTTTTTAGTCTTCACTGGAAAATGACAAAAATACTGATTTTTGAAAGAAAACACACAAGGACATGAGAATGTTTGGTTGGGACTAAATCACAGCCTTAACTCAGTGAAGAAAGAAATACATTATGATCACTTGACACTTACCCACATCATCCTCGTGATAAATAATGGAATGGTGGTCAGTGTTGGAGGTGGTGTATCTGTCAGTGGGCTCGACGTAGAACGTCCCATTGGCTGTTGTAATGGAGCCCTCAAACTGACCCTCAAGAACAGACCCTTGACATGAGGATTCCTTCTCATCTTTGAGACAAAAAACAGTTTCATCTTAGTAAAATTAATTATAGATAAGAATTTTGTGGCATGCAAAACACTTAAACCCCCGTTTTCACAGACAAGGATTAAGCCTATAGTCTCAGACTAAAATGTAAGTCTGAGCTGTTTCAAGAGAAAGAAACCTGCACTGATTGATCTTAAAATATGTCAGTGTCCTTGTTTTGTCTCAAGATGCACACCATGTCTAAGGCATATTTATAAAAACTACTTAAATGTATTAAACCTAATTGAACTATGGCGTAATCCTGACTTGGTCTAAGCCGACTGTGAAACCAGGCCAATGCGTTTCAAAATATCCTACCTTTTAGTGCTCCTGAGTATATGTGAGATAGATCCACCATCTGAGTTTCATCTTCTGACTGGATCTTGAAATCTTCTGTGAAGCTATTTACATCTGGCTTGAGACGCAGGTGGAATTCCCTACAAAAACATTAATAAAAATCAGTGCTTCATAAAAGTTCATATGTACATATTCAAGTATTGTGGAATAATACAGATGTCTGGACGCCTTAAAAATCATACCTTTGAAAGGCGTTGAAGTCTAGAAGAAGCTCTTGTTTGTTTGGATGTGTCTCACGTCTGATGCGCTGGTGCTGTTGTTTTATGAGCTCTCGGTCATAAGACAGGCCTTCATGGCATTTTATGTATTTGCTAATGTCTTGTAAAGCTTCTGAAATTATATATATATATATATATATATATATATATATAAACAAAGGATACTCGGTTAAATTGGAGTCCAGTTAAATTATACAATTATTTACCACAAAGATACAGTGAGTAAACTACAAAATATAAGCCAATTCACACAAACTAAAACCCAGCTAAAAACCCAACTTGGGCAGCCTGGGAGACCAGCGAAAGGGCTGGTTTAAGATTTCCCCCCCCCCCCCAGTTGCTTTTATTTACAAGCC